ATATAGACAAATTTGGTCCAGAAAAATAAGGTAAAATTCCCTTTGGTGTCTTTCCACCTCCAAAAATAGTGCTTTCATTTTTCTGTAGGCTTAAAAAAAAAAAAAATCCGTGTGTGTGTGTGTGTGTGTGTGTGTGCGTGCGCGCATGTATGAGTGCACACATGTGTTTTGGTTCTAAATATTTAGGTTATTTCAAAAGTACTTGGCTGCTATATTTATAAATTTTAAATAAAATGCTTTCAGTTACAGTGACTAGGAACCCAATTATTTTATACTGACGTACACAGTTTCCTGCCTTTCTCTCTTATTACCATCCTCACTCTGGAAAGCAGCGAGTTTTCTTCAATTATTTAGCAACTTACAATAAACATGATTTAGTACCAAAACGCCAGATATATCTTAAAGCACATTTAATTTTGCAAAGAATGAGTCTTTCCTGTATTGTAGATGAGTCAAAGTTTTAGAAATTCTTCTCAAACCTTTAAACTACTTTCTAGTTTGCCCAGAAATACCTTTCGGGTGGTAAGATTCCAATTCTGATGAATGTCATCTCCTCACATTATTCTTCTGGGTTGCGGCAGCAGCTGCTACCTGTGTAAGAAGCTGGCTCTTTAAACATGAGTGAAAAAAAAGATGATCATTTCATTTTCTCCCAAATAGAGAAAAATATATGAGCTATATCTAATGTGAAGTTGTTTTGCAAGAAGCTTTAAAAATATGAATGGCAAAAGTCAGCTTGGGGAAAATAAACTATGCAATTTTAGCAAGGTTTCACTAGCTTTTGAACTGAAAAGCAACATTTGCATTAAGAAAAAAGCTGCAAATGAGACTACTTTTCTAATCTTGCTGGTTAACACTGTTGTAGCACAGAGTAAGATGTAAATTTTTTCAAGTAAGGCAGCTAAGGCCAGTATCACCTGCATTCCCACTGAGCAAGAATAAAAGTGTTTAGAGAAGTCAACCATGTTCCCAACCTCTAAGCCCCCTTTTTTAAATTTTAAACACAAATTCGCGGTACTTTCTTTCTTAAAGATCATTTAGATTTGACTACTCTAAACACCTGCAACTAAAATATATTCAGGTCAGCTGTCAAAAAAGGACCAAAGGACCAGGGAGATAGCACAGTGGTATTAGCGCCTACCTGGCAAATGCAAGGTCCTGAGTTCAAACCCCGGTTCCACAATAAACAAATTATAAAGTGAATCCATTAGGGTTTGGGAGATAGCTCAGTAGAATAAGCGCTTTCCTGGCAAGCGCAAGGGTCTGAGTTCAATCCCCAGTTCCTCAAAAAAAAAAAAAAAAAAAAAAAAAAGGACTAAAATAAGAAAATTTAACAAGCAATTATGAGTAAGCTATGACCCAAACAAATGGATATTGTAGTCAATTTCTAAACAGATTAAAGAGCAACATAATGACTAGATCCTACAGTATTTTGATTATAGGTATAATTTGCCATAATACAGAATTAAGGTTTATACATTTTATAATGTTAATTATATCTAGAAAATTATCACAAATAAATGGTGAATCATTTAGGTAAAAGTGAACTATTTTCTTTTTACTATAAATAATAGTGTCTCTATTAGTAGAAATAATATTTTTGTTATTGGTTTTTGACACTAACTCGAGTACATTTTATAATGTTAATTATATCTGGAAAATTATCACAAATAAATGGTGAATCATTTAGGTAAAAGTGAACTATTTTCTTTTTACTATAAATAATAGTGTCTCTATTAGTAGAAATAATATTTTTGTTATTGGTTTTTGACACTAACTCGAGATTGTGGAGAGAAGTCAGTAAAAAAGCAATGTTTTAAATTTTCATAGTGAAAACATAGCTAAAATTATACTACTTTCAAAATATCTGGCAATAGGCAAAGAAGCAATAATTACGTTGTGATAATTTTTTTTTTTTTTTTTTTTTTTGGTGGAACCAGGGATTGAACTCAGGCCCTTGCGCTTGCCAGGGAAGTGCTTATTCCACTGAGCCATCTCCCTGGCCCCAGTAGTGATAATTTTAATACATAATACAAGCTGAATGTCTGTTAAATGATAAAGAAGCAAAATTCTTTAATAAAAATCTATACTACTACTTGAGATTTATTTAAATTTATTGCCATTTAATTAATCAGCTCATGCATATGAAATAATGAGTAGTTGAATGTTTTCAAAAATATTTTAATATCATTAACAAAACCACAAAGAACACTGTCACATTCATTTAAATTTTCAAATGAAAAATCTATTGTCATTTGTGAACTGATTAACATGTATTTCTATTCCTTTCAGATTACAAATTTAGATATTAGAAGATTTACAGGAAAACTTTCAAGTACCTTTTAATCTAGAGAAAAATCTCAAAAAATAAAAAATAAATGTTTCCAGTTATTTTCAGAGGAAAGATTTTAAATAAATAAAGACAGAAGCCACAAAACACCTTAATTGTGTTTAGAAAAATTAAGACATTATTAGTTAAGCTATATAATGATACATTTTTAGCTAGATTAACATAATTCTTAAAATTCTATATTCATTAGAATATTACTCATTTAATATCCATGTGTACATTTTTCAAAATGAATCCTTCAAACACAACAAATATTTTTTGTTCTACTCTATTATCAAGTTTATATTTTTTAAAACTCAAAGCTCTTTGGAGAAAAAAGGCTGACTCTCTTACATAAAGGGGCCCTATAACCACAGGCAGAAAAGTAGATAGGCTTTCATCCAGATTTTTTTAAAAATTGATTTGACATTTACATTTCCCCAAGATACGGCCTATTCTTAACCACTTTCTATCACAATTTCATTTACCTTAAACTTTCCTATCTCTCCAGTAAAAAGAAAGGCCCACTGATCAAGTCAGATGTTCTTCATGACCTTAGGCATTAAATAAATATTTGTTGATTGAAAATCATTGACTCAATGTTACTTTCAAGATATGGAGAGATATAAAATTATGCAATACACCTTTACAAGGTGGTATTTTAAAAATCAAGTTAGACTGAAAAAAAATTCAACTAAGGTCCTTCCTGCGTTAAGATGGGGACCAAATAAATATTATATTTTTGTAAATATTTAATCATATAAATGTTTAATAAATTACTGTAATTTTTTATATTTAAGCATGAAGCTTTAAGTAGAACTTAAAGTATAATTAATAATAATATATAAATAATAAGCATAATTCACCAAACACACATACAGCATTAGACATAATCATAGTTCACAAATCTAGTTTTCTTTCTTTTTTCTTTTTTTTTCGTATTTTAGTAAGGGTCTACAGGGTCTCACTGTGTAGACAGGACTCATAGTGTTCAGCCTGTGTTCAGCCTCCCAAGCGCTGGAATTACAGGCACGCGCCACCATGTCCAGTCTCAATCACCATCTCAATGCACCCCGGGGGCGGGGCCCACACTGCATGGTGGAGATCAAACCTCCGACTCCTGCGTCTGCCTAAGCGGGTACTTTAATCCTCTGAGCTATTTGGCCAGCCCTGCAAATCTAGTTTTTATATAGTTCCTTTCCTATATTTATTTTTGCGTTAATAAAACCTATTATGTGAATCTGACCATAAATATGGAAGGATAAACACACAAGTATCAAATATTAATTGAGAATCTTATTTCATTTCAATATACATAATCGAATAAAAATTTAACCTGCACATTCTCAGTGAATACTCTGAAATTTATAAGTGGAAATAATAATAAAATAGAGTATCAAAGAATCCCTTCGTTATAAGAAAAGGTTCCAATAGTCTAGTAACAAAACCCAGAAGTCAAGTTAGTCACTGGAGGTGGGGAAAGAAATGTCTGTACAGGAAAAATTATTAAAAACAGTAATAATGTAAGTAAAAAATATACTCTCAAAGTATATTTCACAATTATCATCATGCCAAACAAATCTAAACTATCAGATTTCACCACTGTTTACAATGTACCCAGTAAGTTTTCAAACAACATACCAGAAATACAGACATGTAACATCTACTCTTTGTGAATACACAGAGAATGATTTTAACTCCTCAGGCCTGTATGTTCCAAAACAGGACTCAGTAGCTACATGTGGCTCCTGAGAGCCTGAAAGGAGGTCAGTGTAACTGAGACATGGACTTTTATATTTTATTTCATTTTAATTACTTCATTAAATTTAAATTTAGAATCAGTAACTGGAAAAATTTTAATTAAGTTTGGAAAAACCTTGGTATGTGAACCTACTTTTAAACTGAAAATTTTATTTAATATAAATATTGCATGAACTATTACCCATGAAAATTAAGCATCTGAGATGGTATTTGCTATAACCAGATTTCAAAGACATAATACAAAAGAAGAATGAAAATTTCTTACTAATACATTTATACTGATTAAATGTTAATTTGATAGCATTTATATATGTTGAGTCAAATAAAATTTATTATGAAAACATTCACATGTTCTTTTACTTTTTTAATAGCACCACACAGAATTAGAGTTATGTTTGTCTCACATTTTATTTATATGGGATAATAATATTTTAGATAAAATAAATCAAAACTTGCATTAAGTTGGGTTCCTTGAAGCACTATGCAGTAAAATTCATTCTTTGTACACGTGGGGTTCCATATAGTTCCATAAATACATGGTCATGTGACCACCACCACAATTAGGATTTACAATGTTCTCGGAAGCCCTAAGATGTCTTTGGATGTGCCCCTTTGTAATCAACCTTCAGCCGCAGCACTTACCCCTTATCAGGAAGAATTTGTTGCCTATTCCCATAGTTTTGCTGATTCTAGAGTGTCACAATAGTGGAGCAATACAGCATGCAAGCTTTTGAGTCTTGTAAAATCGAATTGTACACAACACCTGTCTCTGGTTCTGACCATTCTGATCCTGTCCTTTGCATCAAGGGCAGATTATCAATGCTTCCTTTTTCCACTGATACCATTCTCAAAACTGAGCTTTCACCCTGGCCACATTATCACTTAACACGAATACTTTCAAAACACTTACTGAACTCTCCAGTAAGAAACACGCCTTCTGCTCCCGGGGCCCATTCTTTGCAGTACAAGCCGCCATCAGCACATCTGTGAACGCCGAATGACTCATAGCCTCTGGAAAACTTATCAATACCTCCTTCGCTCTCTCCAAGGTTGCTCAAAATGTGGTTGAACTTCTTATACCTTTGAAAGTGCAAAAGAAACGAAATTATAAAATTAATCTTTCAAAAAAGATATCTGAATGATGTAAGTGTACTAGTCTAAGAAAATAAGGCACCATTGAAGAAGAAGAATATAAATCATTTCATTTACTGGTTGCCTGTTAGGATATAAAAATTGTTAGGCCAATAAAGCAAACCAGCGCACCTACCACCTTTTGTAATTTCAAACACTTTGGTATAAGAAATATGCTATGTTTACATATATTTGTTTTAAATTAGAATAGCAACTTCTATGTCAAAATAGTAGACTTTTTTATCATTTCATTTTATTTTAAAGAGTAAAAACAAAACCAAAAGCAAAAAAAAATAGCAGAAACAAAGTCAGAAATAGTAACAAACAATACGTACGGTACAGAATTTCAAAACAATAAAAATTTAACCATGGTTATTGCAGTACATGTTTTCATCATATCTGTTGCTCAGATTAATGGATATAGGTATATATGATTGGTGAAATAATTAAACATTAATACTTAGTTTCAACACCAAAATATACACTGAAAAAAAAAATCCCTACATCTCTCTCCTTTGACTCTTAAAAAAAAAAAGCAGTCAAAATCCCCAGAAGAACAATAACATTACCCTACAACAGAGTTTCACATACTTCCTGTAAGGAGCAGAGGGTGACTATTTTAAACTTTGTCAGCCATATGATATCTGTCACAGCTCCTCAGATATGTCTCTAAACCATGGAAGGAACCACTGACAATATGCTAATGAGTGGACAAGGCTGGATTCCACTAACATTTCATTCACACACAAAAATGAACTACACCAGAATTGACCTATGGGTTGTTGTTTGCCTCACCTTCCCATAAGGCATCTTAGCACTGCAAGAATATACATCATGTCAAATTACAAAACCAATGGTCATGAAAGGCACTGGAGATGCCCACGCAGAACCAAGAACAGTATATAGCTGTCCCTCATCCTCTCCCCTTCCCCAAGATTCGGCACTGGAACATCGAAACATCCTGCCTATTTTTCTTAAGGACCTTCCTATCTGTGCAGAAGCAAAGTAGGAAGAAACTGGTAAAACTGGAAAAGTAATGTGTGTAAGGTATTCTCAAGTCAAAAATAAAGGAGCCGAAACTACACAAAGAAGTTCGCAGTTCTGATAAGATTCCCCATACACCTCTGATAGCCTTAGGGGGAAGCAGTGAGATTCTCAGAAAGATGGTATGAATACAGATAGGGGTTATGCAGGGAATAAACAATCTTTCAGGAGCTGAATGATAAAACACACCCCAACTTACTGAAAAAAGCACATTACTAAAAATATTTCACATTATGGAATAACTTATGTAAAAATGACTTGAATAAGATAATAGCTAGGAGATTATATGGTAAAAAAACAAAATGCAAGGTAAAACAAAAATGCAGACCTAAGAAACAAATAAATCCAAGATCAACAGCTATCACTAGAAAATAATAATTTATAAATCAACAAGCATACAAAGGATCCATTAAATGAAAAAAAAAAACTAGAAATTAAAATATAGCACTTGACTAGAGAAGAAAAAGGAAATAAACTGACCCAACTAGGAACTGTTGATTCTGAAAAATAAAATGGACATAAAATCTATAAAACTAAAAAAATTTTCTGAAGAATTAAATACACATACCCTTTGAATAAATGTATGGGAAACAAATACATACAAAACATGAAATTTTAAGCTACTGAAACATATTAGATAAACATGGAGAATGTTTAAAGTTTGAAAAAAAGCTTATTACCATAAGGGACATTGCCAAGAATAAAGAGATGAGTGTGTTCAACATGAAAAGAAGCTTTGAAAGTACTGTGAGGGGCAATAATGCCAATGCACCTATTACTATAATAAATTATTTAATTAAAACATTCACCATACTTTGTGATTAGCATTTGTTGATCAACTGTCTATAGCAATTTTTTTCAAATAAAAATATTACAATGTGTCTCAACCCATCTTACTGAACAGATCTGCTATCCTACCACTTCTAGCTCTACCCAAAAATCAAGATGGCCATGAAGGATAAATGTTTTGAATTGATTCAGGACACCAAAGCAGCCAGAACAGCTCATCAAAAGACATTCACCAAAAAGGACTTCCAGAAAAAAAGGTCTTTAGAAAGTGACAAGAGGAATATACATGTTAGAAGGAGAAATATTTAGAGCAGGATTGATGGCAATGTGTGTTTTACTGTAATTTTTAATTTAAATATTCACTGTGTTTTTTATCACACATATAATTTTGTTGTTATATAGTTATTTCAAGTGAAATGAAATTTTTAAACATTTTTTAGAAAATAAAGCCAAAATTTCAGAGGAAAGTAGCCCAAAAAATGTATCAAAAACTGTTCCACCTCATATGGGATGTCTCTCAGAGCACAAGCCCTGGCTTAAATTCTCAGTATTAATAAATAAACAAATACATAGACCCACACATACATGCAGAAAAGCTAAATACATACAGACAGACAGACGGGAAAATGTTTCAAAATACTTAAAATTCTGACCTGCAAAAACAAACAGATCGATAAGTCTGTTGAAACAACTTACACAAACTTCACGTACTATAAAAGGAAGTATTGTTAACATGTTAGAGATATTGTCCACTATACTTCTCACGATATAGAAACTCTAACCCATGCTAGGTGGCACATGGAATAATAATAATAATAAAATGATCACATGATATAAAAAAAATCAAATACATTATCTGGTTTTAGGGCTAAAAATACACACATATATTATAACACAAAGAAAATTACTTATTTTTACAACTATGTAATAATGTTATTGTTGATGTGGCTATAATACTTTAAAATACATTTTCAGGATAATTTTTTGAAATCATCATTCTTACAAAGTTTCACAGGATATGCTCAAATGTTCCAGTTGGTTAAATTTCAATGGAAACAGGATTATAGTATTCTATTACTTTAAATATCTTGACTTCCCTCAAGGTCAGCCCTATAGCTTCTGATCCAGAAATGCACATTCCACTTTGAAATCACTGTAGCTCAAAAAAGCAAATGCCTGAGGACACAGCAGGCTCATCATGCCTGAGCCCTTTCTACTACAGTCTCCGTTAATATCTTCCTATGAATTTAAAGGATATTTAGAAGTTAGGTCAATTTTTTAGCAACTGAGAACATAAAATAAACCTAATTTACAAACTAGTATTCTGTACAAATACAAGGAATGGCTATAAATATTATAAAATTTGGTCTCTACGTTGCCTTTTTAACCCTCTTTTTATGAGGGCAATAATCAGAGTTAATATGCAAGTTATCCAAGCTCTAGAAAGTAATAAGCAATAGAAAGTATCACCAGTAGTCACAAAGGTACAGTCTTCCCTACAACACTCCACTGCGATTTATTCTTAAGGCTATCAGTCTTACCATTAAGTGAGTCAGTGCTGAATAGTTAAATCGCTTGAAGCAAAAGTCTAGGTCCAAATCCTAACCCTGTTACACACTTATGTGACCCTAAACAAGTCACCTTCTTTTTCCTTATTTCTTCACCCTGTTAAGTAGGAAGAAACCTCATACCCATAAGTCATCAGAATCACAGTGAAAGAGCTACATCATACAGTAGCTGTGAAGTGTTTAATAGATGCTAGCTATAAATTTTCTCCATCTCAAATGGCAACAAGGGCAGGCAGGTGAGACAGCTCAGCGGACTAAGCGCCTACTTTGGCAAGCACAGGGACCATGGTTCGATCCCTGGTCCGCACACCAGACGGACCCCACCCCTGGAAAGCCCCCAGGACATGCTAAGCAGGACTGAGTCTGGGCATGGTGGCACATGTCTGTAATACCAGAACTGGGGAGTCTAAAAACAGGAGGATTACTATGAATCCCAACTGCGCAGTGAGACCCTGTACCAACTACATACATGAAAAAAAAAAAAAAAAGGCAAAGTGGCAAAAATTTTCTATACTTTTAAATTTATCAATTTTCTTTTACATGTAGCTTGCTTAATTTTAATGTATGTAATAATTACTAGGCAACATTAAGATTTTCCCCCTCAAATTCTAAAAGTCTTTGAGAATACTTGCCACTTTTTCACCAGTATAAAAAAATTACAGGGCTGGTCAGATAGCTCCCTGGATTAAAACGCCTGCTCAGGCAGTAGTGGGGACCAGCGTTCTATCCGAGGCCTGCAGTGCCAGCCCCACCCCTGGGCGCGCTGAGACTGCAATTGAGATTGGGTGTATTTGCGCCCGCCTATAATCCCAGCGCTTGGAAGCCTGAAAACAGGAGTCCGATCTGTGTGGTGAGACCTGATAGACCCTGCGCTAAATACATTTTTTGAAAAAATTACAAATATAGGCATACTAAACATAACACATATTAGACAGTGCATATTCATTTGAATGGACAGATTATGAAAACTTGGGAAAACTAAGTAAATTGGATAAGCAAGAAACACCTAAGTTACTGTAAGAAAGTAGCAGGTAATAGGAGTACAAAAGGGAGAAAAAACAGGACCAGTCTGCCGTCCCTGTTCTTCTGGAAGATGATTTTTCCTAGCTCAGCTCTGAAGCTCTAATTTGAGACAGGGCTGTGCACCCAGGCGCTAGAGGTCGGGGAGCATGGATCACGCCTAATCTGGAAGGGGTTTCCCTGGGGAGTCTCCTCTCCAGGGTTTCTCCGGAAGCCTGAAACCCAAGAAACCCCTCAGGGAATTCTTCGCCAGCTTAATTTTTGAGATTTTATAATGCTGTTTGCTTCCTACTGGACACTTTAGGAAGCTTACAGGCAAGAAAATAGATCAAAAGTCCAAAAATAATTTTTAGTAGCTAAAACGAAGGGAAACAAAATTAAAGTGGGAGGGTTAGTTGAGTTTGGTTTGTTTGAGTTTATATTTAGAAAGAAATAACTTTTTAAATCAGTCTTTCATAAACTCAGGGATGTGCCAAAAAATCTTCTTGAAATGAAGAATACCCAGAATATACAAAATTTCCCACATAT